CTGCAAGGGACCTGGCGCCGGGCGTTCGTATGGGCGCGCCCATTCTCCAGTTTTTTCCTTTCATTTTTTCTCTTTCACTTTTTTGTGAACTTTTTTTCAAATTCAAGAACATTTATTTGTTCATCGATTTAATTTATTTGCATCAATGTAGAAAAAACTTCATCGAATTCATTTTTTTTCACAGGATTTAAAAAATGTTCATCAAAATTTAAAAATTGTTCATAAAATTTTAATAATATTCATAAAAATTTATTCATTGATTTAAAGAAATGTTCATCAAATTAAAAATTTGTTCATCCATTTTTCAAAAGTATCTTGAATACAAATTTTGTTCATCAAGTTCAAAAAATGTTCATCAAAGTCAAAATTTGTTCATCAAATAAAAAAATGTTGATCATTATTTAAAAAAACTCATATTTTTTTCATCAAGATATAAAATTGTCCGTTATTTTGAAATCACGAACATTTTGAGCTCAAGAACTTTTCTTGAATCCGGTGAACATTTTTTTGACTCTGTGGACGTTTTTTGAATCAAGCGGACGAGAGCGTTCTTGAATCCGGAAGTAATCTGCTTCATGGGCCAATGTACTACCTCTTAATCACATACATTGCCATGGGCCCGTGGCTCAAGAGACGGAGAAGAGAGAAAAAAAAGGCCTCGCTCCTCTCCTCACCCACGCGGCCACGCCCTCTGTCTCCTCCGGCGGTTCCGCAGCCGTTCCACTACTACTTCCTCGCCTCCCCTGCCTCCACTCCCCACTCGTGCTTCCTCCTGGCATCAGCGGAGGGCGCGGCAGACCTCGCGGGGCATCCAGCGACACAGAGACCGTGGTAGGAACAGCCTCGGTTCAGGCTGACCAGCTGCGCCGGGCTTGTGGTATTGCCCAGCAGCTGTTCGACGTAATGCCGAGGGCTCGTGCCAGAGCTTTCTATGGCAGTTGGGGAAGTTGTCCTACTATAAGGTTTTCTGAAAGACCCGACACTCTCGTACTCTCGCACACTGCAGCTGACATATACTGGAATTGTTTCATTGATATGGTTTACGAACAATACAAGCTCTTGAAGCATTGGAGCTCCAAAGTCTTGGGGAAGTGGTCCTGATAAAGCGTTCTTGGCGATATCTAAGAACGCTAACGATTCTGGTAGCAGTGGCAGCAAACCTGTAAAGCCATGTGAGTACAGGTCAAGCAATTGCGCAGAAGTCATAAATAAGAGTGTTGCTGGCAGCCGGCCACTTATTTGATTATTACAAGAGATATTTACATATGTAGCATTGGAGAATACAGTCCAAAACCAATTAGGGAGAAGATCAACTATGCCTGCATCTGAAATGTCAAGTTCACTAATATCCTTCTGTCCTTCGAGCCCCAATGGAAAATGAGGTCCCATTTTTGCTAGTTGCAAAATGAGCCTCATACAAGTTAAATGTGGGGATCCAGTTTGAGCTGATAGTGATATGTACAGGGTTGGCAGCTAGATTCAGTTCCTTCAAGTACACTAGACTTTCAACTTTTCAAGTACAGTTCAAAATACTATTGCGGCTCACGAAGTGCGTCCAAGTTCTCCTTATTGATCACATGCAGTTCTCGTGCATGGTTTATAAAGAAAAGAATCAGTAAAGCTTGTTTCAAGAGACACTGATTTGGATCCATGCCATGTGTCGCGGTTCCACCAGCTGAGTTCACACCAGCGACATTGCCATTGTAAGCTGTTAAGTACCGTACGTGGACAGCTGAAATGTCAACTCCAAGACTCTCTCAACTCGAACCAGAATTCAAAGCTTTGCATTTTCTAGTCATCCGCTTTCATTATCAACCTGACGCGAGTGCTGGATCCGGTCAGCAATTTGGCAAGAAATTAACGCTGTTCTAGTAGTGGATAAGATGGATTCCAGATGTCAACAAATGGACACTGCAATGGCTGATTAACAAACAAATTGACAGTTGATCTTGGTGTCTTGTTCAAAAAAAGAAGGGTGAACTTGCACGGATTTTTGAAAAGAGATTCTATATAATTAGGCACTTGACAGAGTAAGGCTGACACTTCATGTTAATAAAAATATCGCGAAGATCACTTTGTATATACATACAGTCACTGTTGCATTTGCACAAGAAGCAGTCTGACCAGAAGTGTTGATACACAAAAGCTATCCGTCTATATAGCTTAATGTTTCAGTCACTAATCCGACAAGTAAGCAATGACGGTGGCATCCCAACTCCAGCGTGGACTGCTGATTTTTCAAGTCTTAGCTACTAGAATTCCAAGAACATTGCATTATACAATCATCTGCTTCCGTCGGTCGAACATTCGTGGATGCTGCATTCGTCAAAGCATCACTTGCTTCTTGACCAGGACCGGTACAAATATGTACTTACTCCTAGTTATTGTTTTGTTTTGCGGGAAGTACTTAATTGCTCCCAGTTATCATAAATAGTTAGTTGGACCTTAACTAGTACACTTAGATCTAGGCCTGATCGGTCGATGGATTGGTCGGCTCCCACGGTCATGATCCTTCTCTTCCTACCGTTGAGCACTTCCCAAGACCGGCTTGTCCCTGGCAGGGCGCTGTCCCCTGGTAACACCATCGTCTCCGATGATGGTGGATTCGCCTTGGGCTTCTTCAACCCCTCCAATTCTTCTCCGGCCAGCCTGTACCTAGGCGTATGGTACAATGACATCCCCGAGCTCACCGTTGTGTGGGTCGCCAACCGAAATACCCCAGCCACCAACACAACTTCCTCAACACCGAAGCTCTCCCTCACCAATAGCTCTAATCTGGTTCTCTCTGATGGTGGTGGCGGAAGCCGTGTCGTTTGGACAACAGCCAACTTGACCAATGGTCCGGTCTCGTCTACCCCGACGGCAGTGCTTCTAAACACCGGTAACTTCGTCATCCGATCGTCAAACGGCACCATCCTGTGGCAGAGCTTCGACCAACGCACAGACACATTCCTTCCCAGCATGAAGATCGGCATAAACTACAGGACGCGTACCACCACCAAGCGCCTGGTATCATGGAGAGGTCCCAGCGACCCTTCGTGGGGGCGCTTCTCCTATGGCTGCGACACGAACAGGTCGTTCCAAACATTCTTGTGGGACGGCGAGCACCCGGTATCTCGTGCCACCCCCTGGACAGGGTATCTAGTGATGAGCCTACGGCAACAACAACTACTTGGGGCCACAAATATCAGTGATCTTATCATCTATGTAGCCTATGTCAACAATGACGATGAGGCATACGTCACTTATAGCCTCTCCGACGGCGCCCCACGCACAAGGATTGTTCTAACCTACTATGGCGAGTTTCAGATCCAAAGCTGGAGCAGTAAGTCATCAACATGGGTTGTCCTCTGGAAGTTTCCATCCGCTGAATGCAACCATTACAGTTACTGTGGCCCGTATGGCTACTGTGACGAGACGGTCGAGGCCCCCACCGTGCCAACATGCAGGTGCCTCGATGGCTTTGAGCCGAGTAGCATGGAAGAGTGGACCAGTGGCAGATACTCGGCAGGGTGCCGACGGAAGGAGGCACTGCGAGGGTGCAGTGACGGCTTCGTGGCCTTGCCGGGGATGAAGTCGCCTGATGGGTTTTTGTTTATTGCTGGAGGGAGGAGTAAGTATGAGGACTGTGCCGCGGAGTGTAGCCGCAATTGCTCCTGTGTGGCATATGCGTTCGCCAACCTGAGCAGCAGCAGGTTCGAAGGACACGTGACGAGGTGCTTGGTGTGGTCTGGGGAGTTAATAGATACGGGAAAGGTTGGGGAGCTCACCGGCGAGACACTCTATCTTCGACGTGCAGGCATGGCTGCAACCAAAGGTACTAGATCTCAGTTTCTCCCTCTTTATCATATTGGTTTTGTCATTTATTCCTCTTTCTACCAGTTGTTTTGTTTTCAATAACATGTTTCTAGTTCTATCACTCGTTTGGGACCATCGCTTAGTGACTAGAAATAGTTATTTCTTGGTCAATACAACAGCCATTGGATCAGGATTTTTTCATCCCTCTGGTAGTTGCACAAATATCATGTTAAAGTTTGATGGTTGTTCGCCATGACTGAGAAAGGGTTATTTCTCATTCAACGAGAAATAATAAAACCATTTTTTCTTGTATATGAATTTGTTGCACAGGTAAAAGAATAAAGAGCAATGCAGTGAGGATTGTGCTTCCAGTTGTAGGCTCTGGTGTTCTAGTACTCATATGCATCTCCCTTGCATGGTTAAAATTCAAAGGTACGTTTAGTTAACTCTGTTTAGTAGAAGGTTATATTGACCACATTATGAGAGAGTATATTCCACCGCCTAAACTTGAACTACATCGTCTACTACCGCAATATACCCTTAGATTACAAAATCCTCTAACACATGAATGGAAACTAGATCAAATAATTTTGTAGACGGTTTAGAGCATGATTTAGCTACTATTTGTGGTGATGTAGTGATGGAAAATGTGGATTCCACATGTTATACAGACCACATTTGCTTCGTGCGCTTTTCATATTCATGCAATCGCAACAATAGCGATACTGGTTATCGTGGGGATGAGAAACAGATCAACATCTGTGGACTGAGGGTTGTCTGTGTTTTTCTAGGCGAGTGGGTGGCTGGGTGGTAGATGTGCCTCGTGGGTTATTTCCTCTAGTTCCATGAGTTCATAAATTAGGGAATAGTATACAAACATCAATAGTTCTAGGGGTCAAATATAACTTTATTATTTCTTATTTTTGTGATGTTCTCATTAGAGATGTAGTCACTTTTAACATTATGGGAGCAGGCAAGAACAAGAAAGGGACAATGCAAAAGAATATAAGGTTGGAGGGTATGAGTATCTCCGATGAGTTTGAAGAAGAAAACTCTCCCCATGATCAAGAATTTCCATTTGTAAGATTAGAAGAAATTGCCTTCACAACCCACAATTTCTCTGAAACATGCATGGTTGGACGGGGAGGCTTTGGTAAAGTATACAAGGTAACTCATTAAATATGTTCTTTCCTAGGATTAATTCTAGTAAAGAGAGCTACTTTTTTCATACTACAAAGTCAAGTATAAGATTATCACTATATTTCTGTAGGGAATGTTAGGTGGTCAAGAAGTTGCAATCAAGAGGCTAAGTAGAGATTCTCAACAAGGAACAAAAGAATTTAGGAATGAAGTAATTCTAATTGCCAAATTGCAACATAGAAACTTGGTTCGACTTCTTGGATGCTGCAGTGAGGGAGATGAAAAGCTCCTGATATACGAGTATCTGCCAAATAAGAGCTTAGATGCTACCCTTTTTGGTGTGTATTCTAATAACAAACCATGATTTCTATGACAACTTGAATTTGTTTCTCACATTTGTTTCTGTTTTTAGATGAGTCGAGAAAATTGCTGTTGGATTGGGCGACACGCTTTCGTATAATCAAAGGGGTTGCAAAGGGACTTCGGTATCTTCACGAAGACTCAAGGTTCACCATAATTCATAGAGACCTCAAAGCTGCAAATGTTTTGTTGGATGCGGATTTTAAACCCAAGATAGCGGATTTTGGTATGGCGAGGATCTTTGGCAATAACTTGGAAAATGCGAATACCCAACACGTTGTTGGAACATAGTGAGTATCCATTTAAAAAACCCATATTGTTTTTTCAGTAAATTTAACTCCCATTAGACACATCTTGTAATTAAAATGATCAAACAGTGGTTACATGGCTCCTGAGTATGCAATGGAAGGTGTCTTCTCTACCAAGTCTGACGTCTACAGTTTTGGCGTGTTACTACTGGAGGTTGTAACTGGTATAAGGAGAAACTCCATTAGTGAAACCATGGGATTCCCTAGCCTCACAGTATATGTGAGTACACATGAATTTTGTCAAATTTCGTTAGGAAAGTGTAAGCATTTTTGTTGGATATTGAAAATAATACTGATATGATGTTTTGGTTGTTTCAGTCATGGAATATGTGGAAGGAAGATAGGACCAATGAGCTGCCGGACTCATCTATCTTAGATACTTCACCAGATGAAATTCTGCTTTGCATCCATGTAGCACTCTTGTGTGTTCAGGAGAACCCCGATGATAGGCCGCTCATGTCATCTGTTGTGTTTGTCCTAGAGAACGGGACGGGGAGCACCCCACTTACATCCCCCAATCTCCCCGCCTACTTTGCGAGACAAAGTGCTGCAACGAATCAGATTAGAACTGACATTCCGACATCCGTGAACAGCTTTACTCTTACTGAGATAGAGGGACGATGAAATAAATATTTTGTTTTAGCTGTACTGAAATGCTCTCGAAGGAAACAATACATTAGATGAATCAAACACTATTGTAGAATGTATGGCTCAATAGTTAACGATGTCATTTTCTAAAAAAGGAAAATAGGGATGTATCATGTGTTGCTTAGTACTCCCTCCGTTCCGTATTACTCGTCGCTGATTTAGTACAAAGTTGTACTAAATCAGCGACGAGTAATATGAAACGGAGGGAGTAGTCATTACTATCTTTTAGTATGCTCTCCATTCAATTTTTCATTTGCATGACATATAGTCTCAGTTACAGAAAAACTACTCCCTCTGTATCAAAATATAAGACTTTTTTTATACTCCCTTTTGATATACAGAGGAGTATATGTTAAGATATAGTACCTGAAAAAACAAAGGACAGCAACCCACCTGTCGTTTGGGTGAGCTTTCTCCTGCTAACATTTCTGCCTTTTTTGTAGATAGCAGAAGTCTTAATTTTTCATCTACTTTTGCTAACGGTTTGCAGTTGGAAAAAGTTACATTTCTGCAGCCTTTTTCAATTCTCCACAGAAATTCATCAGTCACAGTTATGCTAGTGCCAGCGCCCTGCCTGTGGCCCGTGACTGTAGTACTTGCACACATCTCTTAATATGACACTTGTCTAAAAAAAACTTTGAATATGATACAGGAATACAGGATAGAGTAAAAGCATCTCTGAATGAAGAACATGATCATGATCATGCCACTGCCTGCATCCCAGCTGTTCTGAACTTCTGATCATGATCATCTTGCTTTGCTGTTAACCTTGTAAAATTAAGCTGTGTCAAGATGAGGTCATGGGGTAAGATAAACACCAAACTAGGCATAGTGGCATTTACTCCCTCCGTTCCTAAATATTTGTCTTTTTAGAGATTTCAAATGGAGTACCATATACGGATGTATGTAGACATATTTTAAAGTATAAATTCACTCATTTTGCTCCGTATGTAGTCACTTGTTGAAATATCTAGAAAGACAAATATTTAGGAATGAAGGGAGTACAACGGTAGCACACGTTACCCTTTACTCCTACATTTGTACACTGGTCTGTCTTAATGTTTCAGTCACTAGTCAGCCTAGTCAGCAGCATATGACTGTGGCATCCCAACTCCGACGCGGACAGCCAAAATGTCAACTCCCGATACACTCCAAGTTGTCTCAGTTAGTCTCAACTACTCTGAAGCAATTTGCCATTATTTCAGAAACTAGTAGGTCCCATTCGTCAAAGCATTTTTTGGATGTGTAAACCACCGAGGCTTGATGCAAGTGTTCCCAAGTTGTCTCAGTTAGTCTCAACTACTCTGAAGCAATTTGCCATTATTCCAAAAACGAGTAGGTCTGATTCATCACAGCATTTTTTGGATGTAAACCACCAAAGCTTGATGGCAAGTGCTCCCAATTATAAGCATCCGTCAGAAGTTTAGCACTAACATTTGGCTGACCACCGACCTATGGATTGGCCAGCTGCTTTCACCAGCTGCACCGGCGCGGGAGCGCTGATCCTTCTGAGCTTCCTGCGGTTGTGCGCGTGTGACGACCGGCTTGTCCCCGGCAAGCCGCTCTCGCCTGGCGCAACCATCATCCCGGACGATGGTTCCTTCGCCTTGGGCTTCTTGGACGATGTTTCACGACTGATCTCACCGTGATAACGTCTGCGAGAATCTTTCAAAAGAGATTGTTATATGCTACTCTATCCATCTCATAATATAAAAGCGTTTTTGACACTAGTATTATGAGACGGAGAAAGTAGTAACTTTTTTTTGAAAGATCCAGCATCGCTGGCATTTCATTGATAATAGCGGGAAGCAGCGGAAAAAACAACAAGGTGGTGAAGGTCCTAGGACCAGATCCGAAGATCAAAGAAAGAGAAAAGAAAAACAACAGCCCTAAAAGCTGCAGCCGAACACTCCATACAATCCATACTAAGGCAGCGCAGCTCCGACTCCAACGGTGAACTACTAAAAAGACTAGGCAGGGGTGACGTCACGGAGGATCACCGAACGAGCTATCTATCATGCGTCATCATATACCACCGCCCCCCCACCGCGGCAGTCAGGCACACCCACGGACTCGCCGGAGAAGAAGAGCCGACTACCACGACCAAGGCCACACTTCCGACATTGCTCATCACCGTCATCATTGCCACAGAAACCACCATGCACGTCCAGTGGTAGGAAGCACCATAGGGATCAAAGTCTTCAAGATGGTCCCTAAAGAGGGGAACGGCGTTGAAGACGACACCATCGCCCGACCCTGCAGCAGGATATGGGTTTTCACCCGAAGGACTTGATCCGGGAGATCTGGCTGTGATATTCCCAACGGCGCCTCCAAGGAGAATAGCGACGCCCACAGGCGCCGTCGCCGCCGACCGGCCAGCACCGACCAGGCTTTCACCCGGGGCAGCCACTCCCACGCAGCAGGCCGAGGACGACCCATGCCTCCATTGAACCGCACACCCCCCACACAGCGAGTGCGCCACCGCTGTGCAGGGCCACCACCAATCCTCCCCGACGGCGGCCCTGCAGAGACCAGATCAGGTCCTGCACCTCGCATCCGACCACGGTCGGAGCCTCTCTGCTCCAGCACCGCCTAGCGCCACACGTAGCCGTCCTTCCACGCAGCCTCGGGGCCCCTCCCGGCTGCACATCTCGCTGGAGACTAGATCCGCGCTGCCACCGCCTCTCGAGATCCAGGACAGGAAGCACCGGCGCTGCCCCCGCACGCCATATCCGCGCGCCGAGCCGCGCATCGCGCACACCTCGCGATGTGCGGACCCGAACCTTCGCCGCACGCCGCTCGCCGCGCACCGTCCACCGCCGCCAACCCCGTCATGCCGTCCGCGCCAGCTCCGCGCCTGACGACCCGCGATGCCGCGCTCCCGCGCCAGATCCGCGCCTGACGACCTGCGAGGCCGCGCTCCCGCGCCAGATCCGCGCTCTGCGCGCCCGCGAGGCCGCCCATCCGCGCCTCCGTGCGCTGCCTCGTCAGCCAGCTATGCCGCCCCGAGCGCGCGCAGTTGCTCGAGCTCCCGCCGCAGATCTCCGGCCCGCGCCAGCACCTCCAGACGGAAGGACGAAAGGGCCCCGCCGCCGCCCGGGCTTTGCCCGGCGACCGCTGCCGGCGGCGGCGAGGGAAGGGAGGGGTGGTGGTTGTGGCTGCTGGAGGGGGCTAGGGTTTGCCCCCGAGCCGCCCGCGGGAGCGACGCCGGGGAAGGGTTTGACGCAGTTCTTTTCAGAAAGTAGTAACTAGCAAAGCCTATTCGTGCTTCCAATTGTGAGTACTTCCATTACCAGAGATCACTTTGTGTGTGTGTCTATATATATATATATATATATATATATATATATATATATATATTCCATTTGCGTAACAGTCCCGAATGAAGGTGACTGTTGAAGGTTAATTTTTCAGTCACTGGTCTAACCAGTCAGCAGTGACTGTGGCATCCCAACTCCAACGTAGACAGCTGATTTGTCAAGTCTCAGCTACCAGAATTCCAAGAACACTGCATTATACAACCATCTGCTTCCGCGGTCGAACGTTCGTGGATGCTGCCTCCGCCAAAGCATCGCTTGCTTCTGGACCAAGTACACGTACACAATTATATGTACTGACTCCCAGTTATAGCCCAACAAGATAGTTGAACCTTAATTACCATCGTTAGATCTTAGCCTGATTTCATCGATGGATGGGTCGGCTCTTACCAGCTGCGCCGCGGTAATAATCCTTCTTTTCCTGCCGTTGGGCGCATCCGACGACCGGCTTGTGCCCGGCAGGGCGCTCTCCCCGGGCAACACCATCGTTTCTGATGATGGTGGATTTGCCTTGGGCTTCTTCAACCCCTCCAATTCCACTCCGGCTAGGCTGTACCTAGGCGTATGGTACAACGACATCCCCGAGCTCACCGTTGTGTGGGTCGCCAACCGAGATACTCCGGCCACCAACACAACTTCCTCAGCACCGAAGCTCTCCCTCACCAACAACTCTAATCTGGTTCTCTCCGACAGTGATGGCGGCAGCCGTGTCATTTGGATGACAGCCAACATGGCTACTGCTATGGTCTCGTCTACCCCGACGGCGGTGCTTCTAAACACCGGTAACCTCGTCATCCGATCGTCAAACGGCACCACGCTATGGCAGAGCTTCGACCACCCCACAGACACGTTCCTTCCCAGCATGAAGCTTGGCATAAACTACATGACACTTACCACCACCGGGCGCATGGTATCCTGGAAAGACACCAGCAACCCCTCGCGGGGGCGCTTCTCCTATGGTAGCGACACAAATAAGTCGGTCCAATTATTCCTGTGGGACGTCGAGCACCCGGTATCTCGTGCGCCCCCATGGACAGGGTATCTAGGCAAACAACAACTACTTGCAGCCACAAATATCAGCGATCTTATCATCTACCTAGCCTATGTTGACAATGACGATGAGGCATACATCTCTTATAGCCTCTCCGAGGGCGCCCCACGCACCAGGATTGTGCTAACCTACTATGGCGAGTTTCAGGCTCAAAGCTGGAGCAGTAGGTCATCCGCATGGGTTGTCCTTTGGAAATTTTCAACAGTTGAGTGCAGCCGTTACAATTACTGCGGCCCATATGGTTACTGTGACGAGACGGCCACAGCACCCACGTTGGCAACATGCAAGTGCCTTGATGGCTTTGAACCGAGTAGCACGGAGGAGTGGACCAGCGGCAAATTCTCGGCGGGGTGCCGACGGAAGGAAGCACTGCGAGGATGCAGTGACGGCTTCGTTGCCTTGCCGGGAATGAAGTCACCTGACAGGTTTTTACTTTTAGGTGGAGGTAGGAGTAAGTATGAGGAGTGTGCGGCGGAGTGCAGCCGCAATTGCTCCTGTGTGGCATACGCGTTCGCCAACCTGAGCAGCGGTGCTCGGTTGGGAGGACATGTGACGAGGTGCTCGGTGTGGTCTGGGGAGTTAATGGACACGGGAAAGGTAGGGGAGCTCAACGGCGAGACACTCTATCTTCAACGTGCAGGCATGGGTGAAAGTGAAACAAAAGGTATTAGATCTCAATTTCTCCCTCTCTATCATATTGGTTTGGTCATTTCTCCTTCATTCTACCACTTGTTTTGTTTTTATTAACATTTTCTAGCTCTACATTCATTTGTGACTTAGTCGCTAGAAAGTAGTAATTTCTGGGTCTTCTCATGCATCTTGTAGTTGCACAAGTACGATGTTAAAGTTTGTGGTTGTTAGCGATGACTTAGAAAGAGGTATTTCTCATTCAACTGAGAAATAATAAAACCAGTTTTCTTGTATATGTATTTGTTGCACAGGTAAAAGAACAAAGAGCAATGCAGTGAGGATTGGACTGCCAATTGTAGGCTCTGGTATTCTGGTACTCGTATGCATCTCCTTTGCATGGTTAATACTCAGAGGTACGCTCAGTTAACTCTGTTTAGTAGAAGGTTATATCGACCACATAATGATAGAGTACATTTCATCGCCTAAACTTGGATTACATCATCTATTACCGCAATATACCCTTAGATTACAAAATCCTCTAAATCACCTGAATGTACAAACTAGATCAAATAACTTTTTAGACAATTTAGATCTACTGGTGGATAAGATGGATTCCACGTGTTAGATAAACCACATTCCCTTCGTGCCGATTTCCATATCAACGCAATCGCAACTATAGAGATACTGGTTGTCGTGGGGGTCAGAAACAGAGCAACGTCTGCTCGCGCTGCTATGGGCTCGAGGTTGTATCTATGTTTTTTGAGGGGCGTGGGTGCCTGGGTGGATGGTTGGGGAGACTATGAGTGTGTTTTAGAACATTTGAACTTTTTTATTATATCTCAAGGGATAGCAGTACTCTCAAGTCTACTATGGTGGTAGATGTGCCTCATGGGTTATTTCCTCTAGTTCCATGAGTTCATACATTTGGAAATAGTATACAAACATCAATAGTTGTAGGGGTCAAATATAACTTTATTATTTCTTATTATTGTGATGTGCTCATTAGAGAGAAAGTCACTTTTAACATTATGGGAGCAGGCAAGAACAAGAAAGGGACAAAGCGAAAGAAGATAAGATTTGAGGGTATGAGTATATCTGATGAATTTGAAAATGAAAACCCTCCTCATGATCAAGAATTTCCATTCGTAAGATTAGAAGAAATTGCCCTCACAACCCACAATTTCTCTGAACTATGCATGATTGGACGCGGAGGCTTTGGTAAAGTATACAAGGTAACTCATTAAATATGTTCTTTCCTAGTATTAATTCTTTATTTTGCGGGTGTCCTAGTATTAGTTCTAATAAAGAGATAATTTTTTTCATACTGCAAAGTCATATATTAGATTTTCATTATATTTCTGTAGGGAATGTTAGGTGGTCAAGAAGTTGCAATCAAGAGGCTAAGTAGAGATTCTCAGCAAGGAACACGAGAATTTAGGAATGAAGTGATTCTAATTGCCAAATTGCAACATAGAAACTTGGTTCGACTTCTTGGATGCTGCAATGAGGGAGATGAAAAGCTGCTGATATACGAGTATCTGCAAAATAAGAGCTTAGATGCTACCCTTTTTGGTGCATATTCTAATAACAAACCATGATTTCTAAGACAACTTGAACTTTGTTTCTTTTTTAGATGAGTCAAGAAAATTGCTCTTGGATTGGGCGACACGGTTTCATATAATCAAAGGGGTTGCAAAAGGACTTCGATATCTTCATGAAGACTCAAGGTTCACCATAATTCATAGAGATCTCAAAGCTGGAAATGTTTTGTTAGATGCAGATTTTAAACCCAAGATAGCGGATTTTGGTATGGCGAGGATATTTGGCGATAACTTGGAACATGCGAATACCCAACATGTTGTTGGAACATAGTGAGTTTTTATTTTTTTAAACACATTTTTTCAATAAATTCAACTCCCATTAGATACCTCTTATAATTAGAATGATCAACAGTGGTTACATGGCTCCTGAGTATGCAATGGAAGGTGCCTTCTCTACCAAGTCTGACGTCTACAGCTTCGGCGTTTTAGTACTAGAGGTTGTAACTGGTATAAGAACAAACTCCATTAGTCAAACCATGGGATTCCCTAGCCTCACAGTTTATGTGAGTACACATGACTTCTGTCAAGTTCTGTTTCGAAAAGTGGATCAAATACTGAAGCATTTTTTGTTGGATACATAAAATTAATACTGATATGATGTTTCTGGTTGTTTCAGTCATGGAATATGTGGAAGGAAGCTAGGACCAATGAGCTGCCGGACTCGTCTATCTTAGATACTTCACCAGATGAAGTTCTACTTTGCGTCCATGTTGCACTCTTGTGTGTCCAGGAGAACCCCGATGATAGGCCACTCATGTCATCTGTTGTGTTTGTCCTAGAGAACGGAAGCAGCACACTTACATCCCCCAATCGCCCGGCCTACTTTGCGAGACAAACTGCTGCAATGAATCAAATCAGAACTGATGTCCAGACATCCGTGAACAGTTTTACTCTTACTGAGATAGAGGGACGATGAAACAAATCTGTAGTTTTAGCTGTATTGAAAATCTCTGGAAGGAAACAATACATTTGATGAATTGAACACTACTGTAAAATGTACTATGGCTCAATAGGCAGCGATGCCATTTTCCAAAATATGGAAAATAGGGATGTATCATGTGTTGCTTAGTACTCCTTCCGTCCGAAAATACTTGTCATCAAAATTGATAAAAAAGATATGTATCTAGAACTAAAATACGTCTAGATACACCCCCTTTTATCCATTTTGATGACAAGTATTTCCGGATGGAGGGAGTAGTCATTACTATCTTTTAGTATGTTCTCCATTCAATTTTTTATTTGCAGGACATATAGTCTCAGTTACAAAAAAACTACTCCCTCTGTATCAAAATATAAGACTTTTTTTATACTCCCTTTTGATGCAGAGGACTCCTTTCGTCCGGAAATATTTGTCATCAAAATGGATAAAAGGGGATGGACCTAGATGTATTTTAGCTCTAGATACATCTCTTTCTATCTATTTTGATGACAAGTATTTTCGGACGGAGGGAGTATATGTTAAGATATACTACTTGAAAAAACAAAGGACAGCAACCCTCCTTGAAAAAACAAAGGACAGCAACCCTGTTGTCGATTGGGTGAGCTCTCTCCTGCTAACATTTCTGCCTTTTTTTCCAGATAGCAGAAGCCGTCTTAATTTTTCATCTACTTTTGCTAACGGTTTGCAGTTGGAAAAAGTTATATTTCTGCAGTCTTTTTCAACTCTCCACAGAAATTCACGAGTCACAGTTATGCTAGTGCCCGCGCCCGTTAAGCATGCCCATGGCCCTGCCTGTGGCCCGTGACTATAGTACTTGCACACATATCTGAATATGATACTTGTCTAAAAAGAACTCTGAATATGATACAGGATAGAGTAAAAGCATCTCTGAATGAAGACCCTGAACTTCTGAGATCATGACCACGTTGCTTTGCTATTAACCTTGTAAGGTGTGACAAGATGAGGTCGTCAGGTAGATAAACACCAAACTACGCATTTACAACGGTAGCACACGCCCTTTGCTCCTACATTTGTACCTGGTCTGACTAACTACTCCATGTATAGGTTAATTTTCAGTCACTAGTCAGCCTAGTCAGCAGTGACTGTGGCATCCCAACTCCGACGCGGACAGCCAAATTGTCAACTCCCCATACACTCTCAAGTTGTCTCAAGTCTCAATTATACTCTGAAGCAATTTGCCATTATTCCAAAAACGAGTAGGTCTCATTCGTCAAAACATTTTTTTGAATATAAGCCACCGAGGCTTGATGCAAGTGCTCCCAATTATAAGCATCCGTCGGAAGTATAGCACTAACATTTGGCTGACCACCGACCTATGGATTGGCCAGCTGCTTTCACCAGCTGCACCGCCGCGCGGGAGCGCTGATCCTTCTGAGCTTCCTGCCGTTGTGTGCGTGTGACGACCGGCTTTGTCCCCAGCAAGCCGCTCTCGCCTGGCGCAACCATCATCCCGGACGATGGTTCCTTGGCCTTGGGCTTCTTCAACCCCTCCAACTCCACTGCTCTGGCCAAGCTGTACGTCGGCATATGGTACAACGACATACCTGAGCTCACCGTCATGTGGGTCGCCAACCGGGAAACTCCGGTCTCAAAAAGGAACACCACTTCCTCTACACCAATGCTTTGCCTCACCAACACTTCCAATCTTGTTCTGTCTGATGGTGATCGTGGCAGCCGTGTCCTCTGGATGACGACCAATGTGGCTACCGACCCAGGCTCGCCACCCCTGCGTTTTGGTTTTCGGTTTGCCCTTTTTTTCGGCACTGGGCGAGATGGACGAAATTCGGGTATTTCAAATCTTTCGGTCAAATCTCGGACGAAATTACAGAACCAAAATTTGAATTTTAAACAAAATTTGACCGAAATCTGGACGAAATTCGAACGAAAAAATTGAAAACAAGCAGAGCAAAAGTGTAGCAGTTGAACAACACTAAGGAATACGTATATACGTAAATGTTTACCAAACTTTGCATCAGTCCAACATCGCCATCAGCTCCAAAATAAAAGATTGAATAAGGAGATGAGCTGCAGAGTTCAGGAGTTCCAGATTCAGCTGCAGCCCGCATCCGGCAGAGGTCAGTAGCAGGGGCCGGGCCGTCAGGAAGGCGCGGACGGGGTAGGACCGGCAGGCTCGAGCCGGGAGGCAGGCGGCGGCGAGTGGAGGAGCCGAATCTGGGCGCAGCGCCGCCGCCGCACGCACGCACAGGAGGAGCGGGTATTGTGATTTGTTTAGGGTTCAGGCTTCATTCGATAGGAAAATTGTCGGGAGGCCCCAGAAGTTAGATTGGGCCAAGACAAAGTTCAAACTGGGCCGAAATTTTCGGCCGACACACACAATTACCGGGCCCAGGCGAGATTGACGAAATTCGGCCGAAAATGGATTTTTTCGGCCTAGCTGCACGTATGCCTACAGCAATCGTCGGCATAAATGGGCCGTCGGCATAGCCGCGGCCCGGTGATCCCTCCAGAGACGGACGACTAACGCCGTTCAAACTATGACGACGGCTGAGACAAGCGGCCGTCGGCATAGATTTGCACGCCACGTCATCGATCCGGGGTGCACCGACCAATATCAATGCCGACGGCCGCCCTCGGCATAGACGCCACGTCATCGATCCTCGGCGCGTCGGCCAGCTACCCCTGCCGCAGCTATGCCGACGGCGGTGCCATCTGCATATATATTGGATCATCTTATTATATTGGAGTGAGGCTTCCCTATTTATTTCATATTTTTTACTTACTTTTAAACCATTAAATATTTAGCAAGCCTTAACTAGTTCTGTGGCAATATATATATGCCCCTGCCACTACTTATATGTATTATTATTTGATTAACTTACATGTACCAGGTGTAAATATAAACA